TAAAAAGAAGGGCGAACAATGAGAACAAGAACAACAGTTTTCAAACATCATGCCCCATTAAAAATGTCTAGTAATGCTTGAATTAGGACTGAATCCAGCATCAGGGAAGATGAAGCCAAGATGATCCTGGAGTATCTTCACTGAAAATAGTGAGGTTGTGCTACAAGAGGATGGGGAATAATATTAGGGTCTCTGGAGATACAGAACCAATAGGATGGATGGAAATCTGCAAAAGAATTTATAAGGCAGGCTGGTAAGTCCTGGATCTGCAGCGTTGATAAGCTGACCAGCTCCCACGTGAGCCTATGGTGGAGTTCCAGTCTGAATCTGAAAGTCTGAGAACCAAAGAGCCACGGGAGGATTAGGACCAGTGTGCTTGTGAGCGGGGAAACAGTGCTTTTGGTAGGGCGGTCATTCATTATTTTTCTGTTGTTGTGGTAGGTTGCCCTGACAAAAAATGCATCTTAGAAGGGAAGAGAGTTTGTGATGCTCTACAGTTTCAGAGGGGTTACAGTCCATCATAGTGGGGAAGGCATGGCAGCAGGAGCATGGGACCATCCTGGTAGTCAAGAAGCAAAGAGATCACATTTCATCTGCACCCAGGAAGCAGAGAGAGAAGAGGTGGGGCCGGTCTATAAAACTTCAAAGCCTGCTCCCAGTGATAGACTTCCTCCAGCAAGACTCCACTTCCTTAAAGCTCCAAACCTACGACGGGACATTTCTTACTTGAATCACAACAGTGGAGAAGCAGGAAGCACTGCTGTCCCATTTCAAAGGCCATCAAACAGGATGAGCAGTCTTTTGCAGGGAAGGTCACTGGGAGTTTTATTCAGGCCTTGGGTGGTTTGGATGCGGTCTACCCACAATTCTAAAGGAAACATGCTTTACTGATTCTACTGATTTCAGTGTTAACCCCATACCAAACACCCTTATGGAAATATCCAGAATAATGTTTTATCAAACATTTTGTCACCCTGTGTTCTAGTCAAGATGACCTCCTTACGTGAAATCCAGGACTGAAAGACTTCAAAGATAACAATTTGAAAATGCCATGTTGTAACTGATCTAGACAGGTAAGTGAAAGTTTCATGAGGCAATAGACTGTACATACTCTCTGAAAGCAGAGGTGAGGGATAAAGGGTTGGAGAAGGTAGCTTTAGCAATAGAAAAACCTGTCTGACAACAGGTGACAGCATCAACCTAACATGACCAGTAATGGGCAATATACTGCCTGCTGTGTTGCACTGAAGAGACAGTAGCACATGCACTGTTGTTTCCAGAAACAGAAACAAAAGTGAGGGGCAACCTACAAATGTGCAGTCTAAATATGTCTATAATCTTGATATTACCTAAAAGCAAAGGCCAAGGCAGTCTTTTAGATTAAGAGGGACAGAAGTCATATGATAGCTGGATGCAGTGGTGATTCTGAATGTTATGACTGAATGCTGGATCTAAAAATAGAATGCTATGAAGGAAATCACTGGACAAATATTATCTTGAAAATGGAAATTATCATGGTTTTTATTGTAGTATGATTGCATAAGAAAATGCTATTGTTCTGAAGAAACATAATAACATCTTCAGGTCCAAGGAACATGATGGGTTCAATTCACCTAAGATGTCCAGAAAATGAGAGAGAGAGAGAGAGAGACAGAGACAGAGACAGAGAGGGACGGAGACACAGAAACAGAGACAGAAGTACAGAGGGACAGAGACAGAGAAAATGCACATACATGTCACAGATTATTACCTGGTAAGCCCTAGTGGAGGATGTAGGAGTCATTTGTGGTGTCCATTCCAGCTTTCTGTAAGATATTTCAAAATAGTTTCTAAAGTTTTAAAAAAGAAATAATGAATCCCCACAGTATGGTTATAAAGACTAGATGTAATAATCCTTTAAAAGGGTTAGAACAGAGGCCAACACAGAGGGAATGATTTAATTAATTGGTAGCCACTATTAACACTGATATTAGTAGAAACATGTTAATATTTGGTTAGCACATCACTTGATACCAACAACATATTACTATCAACATAGACATTAATGCTAACATTTGATCTATATAGTTTTATATGTTGGTAATCAATATCATTGATATACTCATATTAACCCACATCAACGTTAGTTATTATATGAGTAATTATTATTAGTTATATATGTTATATAGTTATATAGTATATAAAATATAAATATATAAAACAACATATAAAGTATATATGTCATTAATTATATATTATTTACTGCAGCAAATTATTTTATTAAAACATTAAAGGTTTTTATTGTTTGAAAACTTCATACATACATACATGCAATGTATTTTGATCAAATACACTTCTGTCTTAGTTAGGGTTGCTATTGCTGTGATGAAAACCATGATCAAAGAAACTTGGGGAGGAAAGGGTTTATTTAGCTTACACTTCTACATCATTGTTCATCATTGAAAGAAGTCAGGATAGGAACTCAAACAGGGCAGCAACCTGGAGGCAGGTACTGATGCAGAGGCCTTGAAGGGGTGCTTCTTACTGGCTTACTTCTCATGGTTTGCTCAGCCTGTTTTTCTTTCTTTTTTTTTTTGAATCCAGAATTACCACTCCAAGGATAGTCCACCCACACTGGGCTGGGCCCTTCCCCCTCAATCAATAATTAAGAAAATGCTGTACAGGCTTGCCTACAGCTTGATCTTATGGAGGCATTTTTTTTTAAATCTTCCAACAGTTTATTAGAAAGAATGTGGACATTTAAAAAAATCCCCACTGTCATGAACATAAATTGAGGTTTTCCAGCCAGGGCATAAGCTGAAATCAAAATAGGAAATAAAAAAATCCAATAGTGTATTAACATTTTCCACTCATTTGCCATACTGACAGTGCAAATACAAATCTGGTCTAACATGTACAGACTCTCAAGCAACAATGTATAGCTTTCTTCATCCTCCATGCTAAGAGATATAAGAGATCAAGGGCCAAACAATACCAAATGTATAGGCTTCAAAAACCATCTAAGTTAGGGCATTCACTAGTTTTAGCTAAAATACACCTGAACACTGACAAGTGATCACATACAATAATGGAAAGTACAACTTTTTGAAAAATAAACTTTAGTGGAATAATTCTGAAAGGCACACAGGAAGAATAGCAGGGTATCAGTTTAAGATATCAGCAAATTTGTTTCAGCCCCCTTCAAGTCCATGGTCTAGGATCTAAAACTAGTTCTTCCCCTAAGCTGAGAGCTTCCTAACATATAAGTAACTGTTATGAAGAAAGAAGACTTAGGTGAAATGTGTTTACTCATCAGAAATGCTCTATCAGTTGTTGCCTAGGATTTCAATTGCTTCATGGAATCCTGGGAAATGTTCATGCATAAGGATATTGCCTTAGCTGACTTAAATTGCCCCATACAATGGTACATTATCAACCCTTAGTGAAGCCTTAAAAAAAGGTTGAAAATGGGTTAAAGAAGTCAAACACAGCATCTGTGTTTAGAGCTATCAACTCAGGAATTTTCTCAATTATGAAATCTTGTAGAAGTTATTTCTCTGTCTCAAAATCCCGGCGATGACAACATTCCTTACTCCAGATCCGGCATTTTTCGTCATTGCTGTCTTGTGAATCATCATCTGCTCATCTACTTCAGGTAAATCTACATCCTCATCACTACCATATGATCCATCATCTCAGAGAAACGGTCAAAATTGGACATATCTTCATCTGAATCATCCTCCCAGTCTTTCCAATTGTTGAAGTCCGCACTCAGCCAATTGAGCTTTGCCCTCTCAGACTTTGTTAACCTAGGCCACGACTGGCCAGATTCTCCTTTCTGCAAACAACATAAAATTGATCTGTCCGTTTTTTTATGCTTGGAATCACTTGGATCAATATAATGAAAAAGATCAATTTCATTTAAATGAGGCATTTTCTTAATTGAGGTTCCTGCCTCTTAGATGACTTTAGCTTGCATCAAGTTGACATAAGACTATTCAGCACAATCCCTTATCCCCTCCCTTCTAGTTTTTCTCCTGTATCCCTCAACTAGTCTCCTTAGTGTTGCCTCTGTGATCATGGAAAACCTCTCAGGGGCCACATCCCTAAAGAAAACTACTGTCACTCCTCAATAACCATCAACTGCCAATAGTCCCTCAGATAGGGGTGGGACTTCATGTTATTTTGGTTGGCCTTGTCTTGTGATTGGTCTTGTGCATAAAGTCACAGCTGCTGTGAGTTCATAAGAGCAATGGCCTTTGTCATATCTGGTAAATACTGTTTTGTTCAGCCTCTTATAATATTTCTGCTCCCCTTCCATCATAATCCCTGAGCCTTGAAGGGAAAGAGTAAGATATAGATGTCTCATTTAGGGCTGAGAAGTTCAAAGTCTCTTAATCTCTGCACATTGAGAGGTTGTGGGTGTTTATACTAATCATGATCTACTGCAAAATGAAGCTTTCTAAAGAAAGTTGAAATTGCACTAACCTCTGAGTAAAAAGATGAGAACTTGGGGTGAAGTTTATTACTAGGTCTATTTTAGCAAAAGTATAGTATTTGTTCTCATCTAGGGCCTATTACTTAGCCAGCCACAGTTTTGGGCTCAGTAAATGATGCCAAGCATGAATTTTATCTTCTTAAAAGGGCCTTATGCTGGAGAGATGGCTCAGGGGTTAAGAGAGCACTGGCTTCTCTTCCAGAGTTCCCTAGTTCAATTCCCAGCAACCACATGGTGGCTCATAACCATATAACAGTATCTGATGACCTTTTCTGAAATTCGGGTATACATGCAGGATACTGCCCTGACCTGTGGGTCACCACGGGAGCTCATACCCCGATGTGCTGCAGTCACCAAAGAACCTAGAACGATAGGGTCAGGCAGAACAAGGAACCACAGCAAGACAGCTTTCTGATCAAGCTGCAAATCTTATTTTTCACAGGGACCTTATATAGGGGTGCCAAGCGGGGAGCTTAGCAGGCAGGGAGAGGTTATTTGAAGCCATATGCTTGCTAACCAAACCATGGGGGATGCCCCTGTGAGTGAGTCCTTGAGAGTGCAGGATGTTACCAAGGTTGCAGGGTGCAGGTGTTAGATAGTGGGTTAGAAGTGGGGAAGGATTGCTAGGTGACCTGACTATGAAATGTATCTTTCCTTCTATGAGCTACTTCATGAGCCCAGATGTTATGTATCAGGGAGGAAAGGATTGAAGGCAGCTATTCTTTTAATCATAATAGGTTATACTGGCAGCATCTGCCTAAGTCTCTTACAGGTCCAAGGTTACTTTTGTCATGCCCCCCAACAGGACACTCATACAAAAACAACAAAAAACAATGGGTCTTATGTCCAATCAGAAAGTAGTTGGTTCCTCCCAAAACATTTGTGCCGCTATTGCCCCAGTGGGCATATCTTGCCAAGATATGTGGTATTGTACTTCTCAGGATTCACAGCTGAGTAGGACTGCTGATTTCTTTTCTACTCCAGTACTGTGCATAGAACTTTCTAGCATTATAAAAATCTAGCCAGTAGAGCTGAAGCTTCCAGTTGGAACCCCCTTGCTTTGTCCACGTTGTATGACCTAAGTATGTGGTGTTTTCAGCTAAAGGGTCTTGCAATTAAGTTTTGGAGAGTATCCAAAAGCCTATAATCTTTGAGATTTCTAGGGGATCCCCCCACAGGTCAACAACTCAAAAAGAAATAACCTATATCTAGTACTGGGATTTTTATTTGATATCCCATCAGAGTCTAGGAGAGGCATTGTACTTGTAGTAGAGGGTAGCTCCATTTGAGCTCCTTTTCCCCTCACATGGCTGAGTTCCATCCCCCAAATCGACACAGTAGGGGGAATGAACTGACCTTCACACAATCACCAGGACATTCATGCTTGTGCATCTACATTAATACAACATAAACAAATAAACATACTTTTATTAAAAAAGAAAATGTGACCGTTTGTTATTTGTATATATTATAATTTCCCCCTATTTTAGTTGTTTATATTATTTCAATTTTTGTTTTAACAAATGAATAATACCCTCATGGTAAACTATATTTAAAATTGTTTATACATTTTTTTTGTCCCTTTTTAGAGTGGTATAATACGGGGTCCTTGAAGTGCTTTTGCTAGATCAGAGGTACAGATGATAAGAAATCTGTAGTGAGTACCAGAGCCAAGTGTTTCTCCCCTGAGGGGTTTCTGCTTTGCTCTTATCTCTCAGGTCAGTGGTCTGTCTGTCTGTCATCTCCCACCCGAACACTCTGTCAGCTAGCTCACTCTTCTCAAGTCTATGGTTTTGTGAAATTAAACAGTCCTTAAGTAGAAGAATTTTGTAAAGGCTAAAATGAAAAGCAGAATTTAAGGGCAGCCAGTAAGCAGAAACCAGTAAACATCATTATGTAACAGGGTCTTCCTAATGCCATACACAGCGGCAGATGGCCACCATCAAACACTTGCCTCGCCTTCTTCTCCGATCATCTTAATAGGGCCCCCTCCACCTCTCCTGTTTCTTCCCCCGGACTCGCCTGATTGATGAGTCACTGTTTGCTCAGGTAATCCCTTAAAAAAAAATCTTACTGTGCCTCAGTTTATCTTTTTTAGTGCATACAAAATTTGATATACTAAATGCCTAAGAAATAGGAGTTTAGTCTTTTTCCATTCTCTTCGGTTTTCGCCGCTGTGCAGTCTCCAGCGCCGAGCGCCAGTCGCCGTGTCTCGGAAAATTGAAGAGATCAGAAATTTTCTGTTCACAGCCAGGCAGAAGGATGCCAAATCTGTCAAGGTCAAGAAGAACAAGGATAACATGAAGTTCAAGGTTCGCTGCAGCAGGTACCTTTACACTCTGGTCATCACAGACAAAGAGAAAGCTGAGAAGTTGAAACAGTCCCTGCCCCCTGATTTGGCAGTGAAGGAGCTGAAATGAATCAGACCTCTGTCTTTGACTGTTAAAAACCCTAAAAAGTTCCCCCCCCAAAGAAACATGAGTTTAAACCTTATGATGCAACTAACGGTATTTCCAAAAGTGACAACTGTACGATATATAAAACAATGTGTAGCTAACACATAATATCCCTTGTAAATCAGGAGAATATTGTCCATGTTCAGAAAGCCAGTTTCCTGGGAGGTTGTACATCATCTTGGGACTGGAATCCACGACCCCAGTGACTGTGGGTTCCTAAGGAACTGAAGGCAAGGTCGGCTTGCTCACTGACTACATCCGGGATGCCTGACTTCGCCTTCCTGCACGTGCCCAGAGGCCACCAAAGAGCAGTTCCTGCCCGTTAGAGCTAGGCTTACTCTGCTTAGACTTGAAACAGCAAGCAGGCCAGTTCTGCTCAGAACTTAGATGTTTGTAGATGTGGCGGTTTCAAGTTTCTTTAGATCAAGGCTTCCTGCCTTGCAATGCTGTCTAGCCCAGCGACCCCTCGGGGCGGGGGTAGGGGGGGCGGGGATCAACAGTGCACCTTTAAGGGTTTGTGTCACAGAAGCCTTCTCCCCTAGCTCTACCTTCTCCCCGAGCTCTGCTCCTCGTCATAAAGCTAGATCACTGTTGTAAAAGAGCTAGTAATGTAAAGCTTCAAAGAATGGCTATTAAAAAATTAAGGCTCTTTTTATTGAAGGAGTTGCTATCTGTCCAGGAAGTGGTCACCATAAAATACTGTTCTGATAGAGAGCAGATGCTGTGCTCCCCCCAAAACATACTCAGGAAGCGTCAGCCTGTGGGGCAGACTCTGCCATAAACGTCTGTAATGTTTATTCAGCCAAGATTTATGTCACAGTGAAATTAAGTCTGATTTCAAAGCACTCACCATTTAATCAGTATTTATGCAAACTCGTAAATAACCCGAGTTTCTAATATGGAATGGAAGACTGTGTCATCACACTGTTCCTAGACAGAGATCAGGCGTGGTTTAAAGAAAAAGAAATTCCAGCCCTCTTTGGATAGTACCTCTTTCCTTAAATCTCGAGTTTTATTCTGTGAAGTAGGGAACATTAAACATTCATTGACACTGGAAAATCCTCTTTTCCTCTCTCCTTTTTCCCCCTTTCTTTTCTGTTTTGAGGCAAGGTCTCACTCTGGAGTCCAGGCCACTTTGTAAGTCAGTAAACAGCCCAGATTGGTCTCAAAGTTGCAACAGTCTCCCTTAGGTTGTTTAGTGTTGGGTTTATAAGCGTGGGGCACCAGGCCCTGCTCGATGCCCCCCCCGCTTCGTTTTTTTTTTTTTTTTTTTTTTTTTTTTTTTTTTTACAATGGAGAGAGTGACTCAGAAGTGATGTGGAGTTTCATGAACCCTCCTTACAGTTTCCCATCACCCCACCACCATCCAGAGGTTCTTAGAGTGGGTGAAGTTTGGGGACTTTGAAGAAGCATGGAGGGTGGGGTTGGGGGCAGGGTTACACTCTCAAAGCTGGCTTTATCTCCTAAGTACCTGGGCACCACAGAGCCAAACCTGCAATTGTAGTGGTTAGGTTGATGAAGAATAGAAAGAGGTAAAATGTGGAGGGCATGAGAAAGAAAGGGAGTCACTAGTCTTAATATCCTACTGAAGTCTCCCACCAGCAGACAAACAAGAATTACAACACAATTTGCAAATGCTTCAGGCCTTTTTCCTTCCCCAACTGTAAGCCTTCAGTTTTCTAGGCATCTTACCAGAAAACCCATGGACAGGGCAAAACCACACGCCAAACACCTGTACAACTCCAGTGACTCCTGCTTGTACGGCTTTAATCCCATCCAAGGCACCTCCAGTGTCTCCTCACTGACCAAACATGGGGGCAACTTGTCTACGACATGAGAGCCACCAAAATGCTCCATATGGCCAATGCTAAGACAATTAGCTATAAGTCTTCTTTGAGGGGCCCCTGTCCAGGGGTGTGCCCATTCTCAGAGACTCCAATGAGGAGGTCATACCCACACTTGGGGATGCCTTCCTCTCCCTACCCTTTCTTGGGAATCACTTGGATATGTGTTATTCTGTGGTGTTGTCTACCTCCTTCCACCTTTAGTTTTGGTGATCCAACTCAAGTGACCAGGCTTGTGCCATCTCACCAACCCCCAGTATTTGGTTTTGCAGTATTAAAGCATAAAATGTTTCCAGAAAAAACATCTCTTGGGGCACTTTCAGGTTTGGTGAAAACAGGTTTTATAGAGAAGGGGATTGTCAAGGGGACAACATCAATTAAAACTTAGGCAGTTATGAAATATTTAACTCCAAACTCAACTTAGGGGACATTTAGATAATACTCCATTTTGCTACACAGAGAGAACACTAGAAAGGGACACACAAATATCTACATCCCAATCTCAGTCCATCCAGTTAGCTGTGTGGCCATGGAACAATCACCACTCAACTTTTCTAGGTCTGTTTTCTTATCTGTAAATTTTAGAAATATAATACCCTTTCTGTCTACCTTAGAGTTTTGAGAATTCAGTAAATTTGTGAATGCAAATATAAAATCATCAGTCATGACACAATGTGTGAAGATACAATAAATATATGGTCAATATTCCCCAATGGAAAGTAAAAAGCCTTACTTAGGTCTTGGTCTGTGCACACATTATTTTCGTTTTTACTCTAACTGTACTTACACAGTTATGACTAAAGATAGACTGTTGGTCCAGAAGCTGATGACACAGGAGTAAACTGTCTGCAAGATACTTTACTCTAAACAATTATCCAAGTCTCCCAGGACCTGTTGTTTATTCAGTTACATCAATGCGTGGTTGCTATATTAGAAAACAAATAAAATTAAAAGTATGTATTAATTCCAAAGGGGCAACACATTGATTGCTTGTAAATATAAATGTTTTAACGAACAATAACTTTTTGAATGAAACTATTAGAAGTGGCATTTTACATTTCTGCCAATCTCTTTAATGTTTGACTTAATTAGAAACAGCTGGATACTCACATCTGCTTCTGCTTTCAATCTCTCATGGTATCACATGTCACATACTCTGGAAAATCACATTCTATAGTCCTGAGAGAATGGGAATGAACAAGGGTGAGGATATCTTAGTTTTACAATGAAAATAATGCTGTCCTCGTGGACCCCTGAATGGCCTTGAAGGACCCTGGGCGTGTGACGCTGTAACAGATCTACAGAATTAGCATCAGAATAAGCTGGGTTGAACTTGAAAGCATTTTTTTAAAAAATCCTCTTTGAAAAAGTTAAACCTAAAACTTGTAACTAGCTTTTGACAAAGCAGTTTTAGTCTTGAAAATACATTCAGGAGAAATTATTACATAAAGCTAAAAATTATTCATAGTAAGTTTACTCACCATTATGAACTGGAGCAACTCAAGTGTCTATCAACAGAAAATGCATAATAATCTTCTGAAAATTCATACATAATATTCTTCATGGTAATAAGAAACCACTTGTACATAAAAATCATGGATGACTCTCATAGAGCCTATGTTAATTGAAAGAAGTCCATATAGGCAATCCATACTGCGTGACTGCATGCATACGAAGTTCAAGACTGGACAAGAATCATCTATTGTGCTTGAGGCCAGAAGCATGTTCAGCCCTATGTGTATGTCTGAGGGCATTAACTAGACAGGGGAGTGAGGGAACCTTCTGGGCTGCTGGGAATGTCCTAGATCTGATGTAGATGGTGGTTACATGAGTATAGAGCAGTGTGTAAACACACCAATCTCTGCACTTGAGATTAGTGTGATTTTGCTTTATACACATTGAATATCAGAATATGCATTTAGAAATCCTATAGAACATTTTAAATTTGCAGTATGTAGGAAGTTTTGCTCCTCAGGTTATCAAGTGCCCCATTTTTCTCCTAAAGAATATGACTACTGTCAATAGTTTCCACTTATAATGTGTTTATTCTGTTAGATCTGTGGTTACTTTATACATGTTGACTAATAGCATTTAATCCTCATTTCAGTAGTTACAAAGGACTCTGTAGTCATATTCTATTTTCAATTGATTCCAAGTCCTGGAGATGTACAAAGGCAGAACCCCATTATATATACCAGGGAAACAAGTTTCTGAAAGATAGAAACACAATTTTCAAATGCCAAAGTTTCCTCTCAACTCCAGACCCTCTGACCTGTGCCATTTCTGCTGCCATGCATGGTGAAGCTGCTCAAACTATTGACCTTTGTATAGGCTTCTCAATTATGAGCAAATTATATATTACATTGAATGAAGATAGACCCAAGCATGAGAACCAACCTGAGATCTTGTTAGCTCTGGGACAGCTTCTCTGTGGCTCAGCAGACTGGAGAGCTAGTGGTCTTGGACTCATGGATATGAAGGGTCCTTGATATCACTCCAGATGGGAATGCTAACGTTGGACAGCCCCCCTCTCTTGTCCTACCACAGGGGAATTAGAAATGCATGGGACACATTACAAAGACACATTCCAGGAGCATCAGCTTGATGGAATCCTGCCTCAGATGAAAACTCCAGAATTTGTTTCTATTCTGCCACCAGTGCTGAGAATATGAGCATATTTCTGGAGTTTGAATTTTCCTTCTTTAAAAGGAAGATCCATGTGACCAGTTCATTGCTAACAGCCCCTGATATTCTGAATGCAGTAAAAAACAAGCCTCAAAAACAGTCCCTTGGAGTAACACAGGCATCACAGTGACTTTCCTGCTTGCAATAAAACCAATAACAAAGTCAATGTCAATGAAATAGCACTGAAAATGGAAGCAGAAATGGAAAACTTTATGTGTACTTTTTGTGACAAGCATCATTATGTACACAATTTGCAATAAGCTACATTTTGTATACTATTTTTTTGGTTTTGTTTTGGTTTTTGAGACAGGGTTTCTCTGTGTAGTTTTGTAGACCAGGCTGGCCTCGAACTCACAGAGATTCACCTGCCTCTGCCTTCCAAGTGCTGGGATTAAAGACATGTGCCACTACCGCCCAGCATGTATACTATTTGCA